TCTCTGAGGCACTGTCCACTGTCGGAAGACAGGATACTGGGCTAGATAGACCCTTGGTCTGACCCAGTAAGGCCATTCTTATGTTCTTAAGCTCTTTACAAAGGAGGTCAATATCATTATCCTCATTTTGGCACAAGGTGGGTAAGTGACTTGCCAAGGTCACCAAGGAGCAGAGCTAGGAACAGAACCCAGGTCTTCCGACTCCCTGTCCACTGGAATGTCAACCTGAGCTGAACGTATACTATAGCACTGTAGCTATGCTGGCATAACCCCAGAGGGTATGTCTATCCAGCAATGTAGGCCAAGGGATAGTGAGACTTGAGTCAGCTGACCTGTATCAGGGAACCCCGGGGCTTGAGTGTCTACACTGCACTTTAACCCTAGGCTAATGTTTTTCTGACTTGTGCATGAACCTAGGGCTATAGCATCCACACTGCTGTGCATAGACCTGAGTCAAAGTAACACTATCCCAGAGTGCCTAGCACACACACACACTGTGTCGACACTCTAGCCCTAGGAATGTGGTGCACTGTGGGAAAACTCTACTGCCCACCCTATTTCCTAAGTGTGGCACTGCTGTTGATGGGACTTAGGTGCCCACAAGGAGCACATGAGTACATACATGGCATAATTGGCTCCTTTGGTGGCTCTCTCAGTAGAATGGCTGCAGTGGGAGAAGGTTTTATATTGAACTACCATCTAATCTGAGAATTGGGCTCTCCGGCTCTAGGCAGAGTCACGCTGTCAGGAAAATGCCCATGTGCCCCTGTTCTGAGGCTAATTAGGATATCAGGCTCCAGGGCTGTCAAACTAGTAAGATGAAACTTTGCAATTCTTAATGTTTAAAGTGGGCTGTCCAGTGAAGAGGTTTTCGTTTGGTTGGTTTTTTATTTATTTTTCTCTGTTTATTTTGAAGTTTGATATAAAATGAAGGTATCGGAGGGAAAACACACACACACCCCCAGCTGGCTGCTGCTGGCTGCAGAGCAGTGATGTGCATCCCCAGGGCTTTGGGTGCAGTGTGCTCCAGCACCCTGGGGACCCCTTATCCCTGCCCCCACCACACCTTGGGATGCAGGGATAAGGGATCCCCGGGAGGCTGTGTGGAATTTTGGGGCTTACCACCCTGAAAGGGCATATTGGCCTGGGACCCACACAGCTCCAGAGGGGCCAGAGAGTGAAGTGAGGACCAAGCACCTGCCCCTGCCGTCCACCCCCCAGTTGCAGCAGAGAGAAAGATAAGAGAAATGTAGAGTAGCTGTCTGTTCTTTGTGGGTTTTTCTCTGTGTGGGGGGGGGAGAGGGGGAATCAGTTTCTGTATGTTTGGTGGAGTCTCTCTCTCTCTCTTTGTGTCTCAATACGGTTTGTAAAAACAACGAGGATCCTGTCTTCCTACTTACAATAATGCTGCTTTTTCATCTGTTTGTTCTATTGGTTTTTCTTTCTCCCCTGGCCTCTCTCCAAAGTCCCTGTCAGTATTGGCTGAACCCCACTCCTTGCTGCCCGGTACCTGGATCTCCAGAAGGCAATGGGCACAGAAATTCCTCCTCATGTGCGACACAAAAACTTCCCTTCGAAGGGAGACAGGGTCCAAACTGGAACCTGTGGGAAAATCTTCTCCCTTGTGACCCCAGGGCACATTCAAGTGTCAGGTGTTGAATTCTCAGGGGTTGCAGTGAAATGCTCCTTCCCTCATGCCCAGGGCTTTATGACCTGACCCATGACTCCTCTCTGTGACCCTGACCGGCCTCTCTCTGTTTCTTTTTGTCTATTACAGAAACAGACAGAAGCTGAGAGGCAGAAGATTATGTCTGAGTTTGAGCAGCTGCATCAGTTCCTGAGGGAACAAGAGCAACTCCTGCTGGCCCGGCTGGCAGAGCTGGACCGGGAGATTGTGAAACTGCAGGATGAAAATGTCATCAGACTCTCCAAGGAGATTTCCCGTCTCAGTGAGCAGATCAGTGAGCTGGAGGGGAAGTGCCGGCAGCCAGCCAGTGAATTCCTGCAGGTGAGGGACATTATAACCCCCCCTCAGATCCCTACACAGGGATGGGCAGGTTCCTGAATCATGAGCTTTGGAAAATAAATGTATCAAATTGTTTAAAGCTGCAAACTTTCTCCTAAAAACTCCCTCTGGGACAGAAGTGGTAACGGTACAGTGAGTCCCTTCCAGAGCAGGAGGGATACCCAGTGTGGGGCATGTGGGACTGAGCTCCCTTTTTTCTCTCTCCCCTCTAGGACATCAGAAGCACCATGAGCAGGTATGTGGCTCCTTCTCACTCCCCCTCATGCTTCTCAGCACTGGAAAGGGGCTCGGGAATCTTATTAGCACATCTCCCCAGGGCACAACAGCACAATGTGTGGGGCAGGGTCATTTCAGAGACCAATCTCCCTGTGTTGACCCTTAGCCCCGGGGTGTTACCCTTTTATACAGGACTGGAGTCCCAGGAGAAGGGTTATTACCCTAAACATGGTAATGTCCATCTCTGGGGGACTGGCTGCCTCAGGAGTCTGGGGATGGAATACGGGTCTTTCACCACTGGGTCATTGGCTACTCTTTTACCCAGGTCAGCAGTGATCAGAACATTTACCACCTAATTTATGGTTTGGTGACATGGGTGAAATCATTTCAGGAATGGGCGAGCGGGGCTCTCAGACCAGTTCCTAGTGGGAAGATGCCCACCATGCAATAAATACAAGAACGTGGGAACATCCTGGCTCACAGAAGATGAAGGCCAGGGACTGAACTAGCCATGGAGACAACTCCCTTCTCATCCCTAGAGCTGGTCTCCAGATCAGTGCTGAAGCACATCAGTGGCCACTATGTAGAAAGCTTGTGCTGCCATTGCCTGGGCTGTGCCTGCTCAGAGGCTGGATAAGATTGTCAACCCAGGGGGTTTCCTGGCAGAGCTCCAGTGATATAACCATACGCATATACTTCTGCTAGAAAATTCCCCACATAGACAGGCCCTTAGACTCCAGACCCTCAGGCCAGCTGCTGTCACTAGCGTGTAGTAATAAAATCACACAGAGAAATGTTTCTTTTCTCTCTAGGTCTGAGGAGGGGAAGTTCCAGCAGCTGCTGGAGGCTTCTTCTGAGCTGGAAAGGAGCCTCAGCAATTTCTGTCAGAAAAATATTGCTGTAAAGCTGACCCTGAACAAACTGAAAGGTACCGAGAAAGGAGCTAGGAGGGGACATTGAGAGAAGACTCTGTGACTGTAGGAGGAGACAGCAGCCACTTCACAGCAGCCAGCAGAATAATCCCAAATTAGTTACTCAACCACATTCTACAGAGAGGGACCAACAGCCCTTCTCCCGCAGTTCAAAACTATGCTATGCCTAGATCCGGGAAGTTGCTATGCCTCCCGGATTGGGGCTAAGAGAATCCCCAGTAGGCTGGGGGCTGTTTAAAGTGCAGCCCAAGTGGAGCAGCCTATGGGTAACAGCCCTGCCCAGAGTCAGTGCAGCAGAGTCCCCTTTGGCCTGGGCCTGCCCCTTCTGCTGGGCTGTGTGACTGTCTTAGCCGGTTCCTGCACGAGGGCAGTTCTCATCCGGCCAGAGCTAGGCTTTCTTCCCTATTTATGATGCAGTGTAAATGGGCTCCGGTGGGAAGGAGAATCCTTCCACAGATGGGTTTCCCACTGCTCCCAAAGACCCCTGTGTTCCCCAGGGCCTGCAGGCCCCACTCTGGGCTGGTCCAAAGGGCTGTGAATCCACTGCTAACTCCTTGGGCAATAGTAACAGACAGAAACGAATTAAGAACTAACTGGGGCAAATCCTGGTTCCTTCCACAGTGGTAATGGGTATTGGGGAGTGAACGTATCTGTCCAATATCCCTGTGTTTAAAGGCTAATCTCCTAACTTTAAGTATTCACTTTTGAAAAATGTGTCGTGCTTTGTGCCTCAGTTTTCCCATCTTTAAAATGGGGATAATTAGAACTGATTGGGAATCAGTTTCAACAAATGTCCCAGCTCAAGAACATAAGAATGGCCCTACTGGGTCAGACCAAAGGTCCATTTAGCCCAGTATTCTGTCTTCCAACAGTGGCCAGTGCCAGGTGCCCCAGAGGGAATGAACAGAACAGGTAATCATCAAGCGATCCATTTTATTTATTTTTTATTTTTTTTATTTTATCTCCTGTTGCTCATTCCCAGCTTCTGGCAGAGGCTAGGGACACCATTCCTGCCCATCCTGGCTAATAGCCATTGATGGACCTATCCTCCATGAATTTATCTAGTTCTTTTTTGAACCCTGTTATGGTCTTGGCCTTCACAACATCCCCTGCCAAAGAGTTCCACAGGTTGACTGTGCATTGTGTGAAGAAATACTTCCTTTTATTTGTTTTAAACCTGCTGCCTACCCCTAGCTCTTGTGTTATGAGAAGTAGTAAACAACACTTCCTTATCTACTTTCTCTACACCAGTCATGATTTTATATACCTCTGTCATATCTCCCCTTAGCTGTCTCTTTTCCAAGCTGAAAAGTCCCAGTCTTCTTAATCTCTCCTCTTACGGAAGCCATTCCATACCCCTAATCATTTTTGTTGCCCTTTTCTGAACCTTTTCCAATTCCAATATATCTTTTTTGAGATGGGGCAACCACTCAAATAAAATTGCGGAAAAAATAAGTCATAGTTGTCAAAATGTTTCATGTTGACATTTTTTAAAGGAAAATTTGAAGTGCCCTTTTGTTGTAAAATTTCAGCTGATTTAGACTAAAAAAAAGTTAGAAAGAAGGTGAAAATTAAAAAGGAATTGTTTGGGAACTTTCAAAATGAAACATTCTGATTCACCTGAACTGATTTCCCCCCCTATTTTGAGTTACAAAATATTTTTAAGACTTCAATTTTTTGTCCCATTTTGAGATGGAGAAAATTTTTGAACTCTAAAATATTTGAAAGATGGAAAACTAGTCTCTGCTCAGTTCTAGGGATAATTCTGTTCCACAGTGGGGACAAGAGTGAGATGTAATAATTGAGGGAATTTATAAAAGAAAATATCAGTCCTTTCTACACCATAAAGAAGCAGCCATGTCTGAAGAAAAAAAATCTAGTCCTTAATCTCTGTGAGCCTCACTTTCCCTGTCTTTAAAAATTGAGATGCTGTCTCTTTGGATGGTGGTGTAACTTGCTGAGTGACAGTAAAGTGCACTGACATGCTGTTGTGACAGTTGCTAGCTTGACCAACACAGCATGGATTGAACTAGGGCTTCAGAGCTAAAATCATGAGTGTCAAGAACTTTACCTGTGGAGCCAAGCTTCCTACCTGAGTGTTGTAACAAACTCACATCCTCTGTAGATCAGAGGTGAGACACACCACATTTACCAGTGGGTTATATACTTCTGCTCTACAGACAAAGCTCATCCCAAACACCTGAGGTCCCCAATGCTTCAAACCCAGATAAGTCCCTTCTTACGTGAAAGCCACTATTGTGGCCAACCCTAGGAATCAAACCAAGGACCTAGGGATCAAACCAAGCACCCTCAGCTGAGCACAGGAATCTCTACAGCTTGAACTAAGGAACTTGCTGGGGCTGTTACAGACTTGCAGTCTCTGTGGATTGGGCACAGACAGAGACAAAACACACTGACCACTGGGTTACACTGCCATCAGAGGGAAAAGGCAAAGTTTCTGATCAGTTTTAACCTAGCCACACTGGAAAAATGGATGTGGCTCTTTCTTCACTGCTTTGTCTGTCTTTATGTCTGGCTCTATCAGTTTCTCTCTCATAACCAAAATGCAGTTATGTTAACAAAGAGCAGGGACACCCCATAAACACGACAGCATGAAGTCTTGTCTCTTTCCCCTGTTCTTTCCACTAGATGTTCTGCCATTGGAACTGAAGACAGGAAAGGGGAAATCCATGGGATCAGATGAGAAGGGTACGTTTCCAGGTGGAATTGCTATTATTGTTATTATTTATTTATTACTAAATTAGAAGGAAAGAACTTCCCCAAAATAATATCTTTGTTTACTTCTTGTTAAAGTAGAAAGAAAGAAAGAATTACAGAGCACACTAAAACAATATAAAAATGATTAGATTTGAAGGAAACCGCAAGCTAAGATTACATCACTAGTTTGTCACACGTTTGCTCATGTAGGCCGAGCTTTGTCTGTTAACAAGTTTTTCCGTGCAAATGGAGGCTTGGCCATTGGGGCTAGCCAGAATGGCTAGGAGGGCTGGCTGGGGTGCAGAGGAGGTTAGGGGCCCAGCTAGTGGGATCTGGCCAGCATGGGGAGGGAATGAAGACTTCAGCTAGGGGGCCTGGACAGTGTGAGGTGAGACCCACCTATGGGGGGGTGGGAGTTGACTGGAGTGGGGAGTTAGGGGCATGGCTGGGGTGGCTGGTCAGAGTGGGAGTGAGGGGCATGGCTGGAAATTTGGGACCGGATGAGGGTGAGGGTACCAGCTTGGGGGTGATGAGGGGACTGGCTGGAGTGGGCAGGCAGGAGGCCCTGCTTGGGGGGCTTGGCATAGTGAGGGTAAGGGGCCTCCCTGTGGGAAGCGGCTGTATTGGGGGAGAGGAGCCCAGCTGGGCATACAGGTCAGCCTACATAAGCAATGCAGTGTACCTCCCCCTAGCAGCTACCTGTCATACATTTAGGTGGCAGCAGGGAGAGCCAGAGAGATTTCTCTGCCCACATCACCCTGGGCCTCTGTGGGCCTGACTTTAGTGGAAATTGGACTTTTCCAGTTTTCTGATTGTCCCCAAAGTTAGCAGGGTTCTGCCCGTTTGTGCCTCAACCAGGCCCATCTGGTCTGGAACTGATCAGGTGTTGTCCAAAGCCGTCGTGTGACAGGCACAGAAATACCTAATCGAGTTGAGTGGGGGCCTGGCTTCATTGTGCCCCAAAGATCCTGACATCAGCCTGAGCAGCCAGTTCACACACAGCCAATACACAGAAAAAGTCTCACCGACAGGCCCCCAAACACCCTTTACTCTGCCCCGGCACTGCTCATGGACATTTCTGGGTGGGATTGTCAGGAGCATCTAAGGGAGTCAGGAGCACAAGTTAAGTGCCAATGGGCCTTGTGCCCCTAACTCCCTTAGGTTTTCCTGAAAATCCCACCCCAGGTTCCTTTTTCATATTTAATGAGGAAAATGGAGTAGAGAGGCCCCTCAGAACTGTCGCACCTTTTCCCCTTCCCCTGGTTTGAGGGGCTTTCCATCCAGAAACTTCTCTTTGGGATGGGCTCTCCTGCGGGGGCTGAGCTCTGAAGTACTCTGCTTCTCTCCCCAGCGAGTGTGACTCTGGATCCAGACACGGCTCATCCCCGGCTTCTCCTGTCTGTGGATCGGAAAATTTTGACCTGGGACGTCATACGGCTGAACCGTCCTGAACATCCCCAGAGATTTGATTCGTCTCCTTGTGTGCTGGGCTGTGAGGGATTCACCTCAGGGAGACATTGCTGGGAGGTGGAGGTGGGGCATGGGACAGCCTGGGCTGTGGGGGTGGCCAGAGAGTCTGTGAAGAGAAAGGAGGAGCTCAGTGCGGCACCTGAGGGGGGGATCTGGGCTGTGCAGAGGTGGGGGTTCCAGTTCCAGGCTCTCACCTCCCCTCCAACCCCCCTGTCTCTGAGCTGCGTCCCCAGCAGGATCCAGGTGTCTCTGGACTGTGAACAGGGGCAGGTGGCATTTTTCAGTGCTGATAGCGAGGCCCCGATCTTTACTTTCCCACCAACCTCATTCACGGGGGAGAGACTCCGCCCTTTCTTCTGGGTCTGGGGTGTAGGTTCCCAACTCACTCTCTATTCCTGAGGCACCCGGTGGCACATGGCTCCCAGTCCCATGAAACGAGCTTCTCCGGCCTCTGATATCCTAGTCTCTTTGGCCCTGCATGGCTCCCATGTTCTTGCAGAGACATTTAAATGCAAAGTGAACAGACCAGAAAAGCTGCTGTCTCTGCCCCATCGTGGGTCTCTCCTGCTTGTCTCTGTCTCTCTCCCTCTGAAGGACCATGACAGCCCTGCAAGGACTGGAAAATAGGGGTTCACAGCTTGCCTGTCTCTGAAGGGGGCAAGAGGGTTTCCAGGAGCCCCAAGACTTGTATGACTCCGTGGTCCCACAAAAGAGAACATGCATATCATGTGAAGGGAACCTAGTCATGGCTGTAATGCATTGCTCAAACTGTGACCTGCAGAGAGCTGTCTGGCTCCTCCCCCTTGTTTTCAGCTCCTGTGTTGCATTAAAATAGCCTTAGGATTCCTTCCCCAGGTGAGCGGTTGCTGTGGTTGTCCCAGGGATGTTGAGGAGTGGGGAGGTGGGCCCTGCAGTCATATCTGAGAGAGAAAATGGTCTGTGAGTCACTATATCTACTGGGGTGGGTGTACACTGTGTTTAGCCTCACAACACTTCTGTGAGGTGGGGAAATGCTGTTACCCCATTTCAGAGAGAGGAATGTCCAGCACAGAGCAGATAAATGACTTGCCTGAAGTCACATAGGAAGACAGTTACAGAGCAGGGACTTGAACCTGGGTCTTCCAAATAAACAGCTAAACCACCAGACCAGCCTTCTTCTCTGCATTAGGAGCCTGGGAAAGGAGGATAAAGACAAAGCTACACGCAGGGAAAATATATTAGTAAAGTTTGTCTAATGATCCTCTCACTGTCCCTCCCCACAATCACTGGGCCAGCCCTGTGCAGAGTCAGGTGATCACAGTGGACAGGACCTGAGTACATGGTGGGAATGAAAATAGATTATTTTTTCAGGCCTGCTCTGAAATGCTCAGGCTGCCTCTGAATGCCCAGTTATGTTCTGTGCTCAGCTTTCGGGCCCCGCTGCCCAAAGCCCTTCCTCTTGCCTGGTCTGTTTGTGTTCCCTAGATAAACTTCCCCACCTGGGCCCTGCTGTTTCTAAACAGATCCCTTTGGAGGAAGAGATGAGAAACAGAGAAACATACATCTCTCTGTCACCCACAATCTCTGCAACTCCCTGCCCTTCTCTGGTGGGGATCTACAGTAAAAAAGAGTCTATTTGGGCTCTGAGCTGATAAAGCTGCTTCCTCCCCAGCAGCGCCCCCAGCTGTCTGGCTCCAGATTAATAACACTCCCCCCTCCCCCCAATGTGGGAAGTGGCTGAAAGTCCATGCGTGGCTGCTCAGGGGCCTGTGGGGAATGCAGTATTGTCAACTTCAGGAGATTAAAAATGAGTCTGACTCCCAAAAATTACGAGATTGGGCCCCAAATCATGACATTTTAATAAAAGATTATAGTGTATTTTTAGGTCAGTCTCTTGATTTTTGAACTCCCTTGTGTTCCCTAGATAAACTTCTCCCCCAGGGTGTGTGCATGTGACGATCAGTGTTGCCCACTCTCCCATGTACTAGTAAGGTGATTTTGGCCCCTGCTGCAGGAGCTCTCAGCCCCTAAAGGAAGCAAACGACAGAAATGTAACCACAACTTTCACTCCAAACTGTCTTTAGGGTGGGATTTCAACAACACGTAGGTGAGTTTGGTGCATAGGTCCCATTCAAAGTCAATGGGTTTTGTGCTCCTAATTCCCTTTGGTACTTTTGAAAATTGTAACATTAGTTGGGAGTTTCATTTTGAGGATAAGAATCCTGCAAATGCTTAAGAACATGCTGAACTTTGTGCGTGTGAGTTGTCCCTTTGAGTTCAAATTTATGCACATGGAGAAGTGTTGGCAGGGGAAAAATTGAATGGTTGCTTTAAAAAAGAGAGAGAATTTGCATCTGGGAACTTTGCATTTATTTATTCTTACTTCAGGTCAGAGCCAAGCGTCAGAGCCCATGCTAGTGCCCCCTTTCCCCCCTCCCGTCCCCTGACAGTAAACGTGGGATAAAATAGAAGTGGCTACGATGGGAGTTCTACCTGAGCAAAGATTTCAGAGCCCATTGAGATAATGTGAACCGTACCATGGTCTAGTCCCAGACACAGTTTGCTTCACATCAAGCGTTTCCTTGGAGTTATTCTTATGGATGGGAGTTTCTGCTCCATGGGTCTGTCAGGGACATTGTCTCACTGTCCCAAACCCATGAATCTCCATGCTCTGTGTCAGGGAAAGAGGGATATGCTGGAGGCAATGAATGGAGATCATGGCTGAGGGCCTTTTCCTCTGCCCTGCTGCCTGACCTGAGGAGCACGGTGTGTGCAGAGGCTGTGCTGCCAGAACCTCAGACGTAGGTTGCACTGACCCCTGTGTCCCCACAGAGGATTCTCAGGAGCAGGCTTGTGCAGTGCAGGGGACATGTGAAGGCTTCAGGGCTTCAGCGCTCTCTGCTGGTGACTCAGGGAAGTTTCTCGTTGTGGCCAGCTCACACTAAGAGCAACGATGAGTTCACAGTTACAGTAAAGACTCTTTTGCAAACATAGTTTCAGCCACAAACTCTGCTGTTTTCTATCACTGGGTTTGAAGGAAAGAAAAGCCATTTGGGATTTTTTTCTTTTTATACCCCAAGGGTAATAATTCTTAGCAAGCAACAGGTTAACATGCACCTTTAACATAGGGTGACCAGGTGTCCGGTTTTCGACTGGAACACCCAGTCGAAAAGGGATCCTGGCGGCTCTGTGTCCGGTTGGTGGCGTTGTGCAGCGGAGCTGGCAGGCTCCTTGCTAGCTGCCATGCGGCTCCCAGGAAGCAGCCGGCATGTCCCCACTCCGGCTCTTATGTAGGGGCAGCCAGGGGGCTCCGCATGCTGCCCCTGCCCCAAGTGCCACCCCCGCAGCTCCCATTGGCCGGGAACCACAGCCAATGGGAGCTGCAGGGGTGGTGCCTGCGGATATTGCGTTGTGCAGAGCTTCCTCGCCGCGCCTCCATGTAGGAGCCAGAGGGGGGGTGTTAGAGGGCTTTCCCTTCACCCTCTCCCCTGGTTCTTGTCACACAGATGGACAGCAGAAGACCAGAACTCCGAAGTGCAGGCAATGCGATGTTTATTGGGGTTTTAGTTCCAAGCAAACATGTTCCAAAGCCCTTCACACCAGTCGGACATATCTTTATACGCTGATAGAGTTTTCCCCTTCCGCTCCCCAACTACACTTCTATACGCCAATAGAACCCCTTCCTCTTCTAACCCCTAGCTCCACACACCAATGGAGCTCCCTCTTTCCAGTGTTCTGTTTCCAGGTCTGATGCCACAGAGCATTTACCTTGTGTTCCCCTTCCCAGCTCTGATGCCGTAGAGTGTTTACCCCATGTCTGCCTTCCCAGCTCTGATGCTGCAGAGCCTTGCCTGTGTCCCTGTTCCTCATTCCCCTATTCCCAGGCCCCCGTTCTCCCATTACCATTCCCCTTCCCGCTCCCCCTTCTTCTTCTTAGCAGGCCCAAATATTGTTATACCAAATAAAATAAAAAACAGCAGGATCTTATTAAAGGGGATAAGGCAAAATGCCACGTTTATTGTGAATACAGAAAGGATCAGAGTAAGCAATCAATTATAGCTATAATTTTCCATTCAATTTTACTTTCATTTACACATTCATTTATACACATACAGGTTCTGCAAGGTTGTTATTATAGTTACCAGCCTTAGAGTTGCTCGTGCCAAGCCACTGGCCAGGTGGCCTGGACACGAGGCGGGAGCAGGGCCTTGTCAGATGTGCATCCAATGCTCCTGGAGGTTGGTTTGCAGAATCAGACCCAAAGTCCTCAGTCTTTAGGGTCTGTTCTTTATAGGGATCCATCCTCATGTATTTGCCTCGTCATGCTGTTCTCATGTTTGAAGTGATAATTAATCACTGTTCTCACGTTTGAGGTGATAGTCAATCACGCAAATGGCACAGCAATGATGAAATGACAGTACTATATATACTCGTTCATAAGCTGAATATTTTTGGTAAAAAAGTGATGCATCAAAGAGCTGGGGTTGGCTTATAAACAGGTCTACACCAAAATTTGATGATTAAATTGGCTGGGAATGGCAAACTGCGGACACTGGGAGCTGAGGGGCTCCGTGCCTGCAGACGCTCCAAGTAAACAAAACGTCCCGACCCGCCAGCGGCTTACCCTGACGGGCTGGGAGCCAAAGTTTGCCAACCCCTGAAATATAGGGTCGACTTATGAAAGGGTCATACAGTTTTTGCTATTTTTACCTAACCATCTTGGAGGGTCAGCTTATAAATGAACGGGCTAATGAACGAGTATATACAGTATGTTGTTATCTTGTTCCTTGGCTCTTCAGCCCCCCTGTCCTTGGGACAAGAATACCCTCAGGTTTATCGGGCTACCTCATCCACTGTATTCTTCAGCCAAACGGTCTTATTTTAAGGCTGGCACCTTAGCCTTTAATTTTTCATTTCTCATTTAATTATACATACAATCACACTCACACTTCAATGTATATCCTGTCACATCTGCATTTTATTACCTACCCATCCTTTAACATAACCATTCTAAAATCAGTGGGACATGGCAGACTTCAGTAAGTCTATTCATCCCACTTGTTATATTTAAAAGGAAATGAACAACATAAGCATGCAAGTGTGTGTGTGTGTGGGGGGTGGGAGGGTTCTCACAAATCTTATTCTGGAGTTTAGGAAAACAAAATTGTACCAGCCATAAAGAACAGCTGTTATCTTGTTAGTTTTAGAACAAACTCTTTGTCTCTGGATGTGCTTCTACAATTAACATTGACCTTGTAAACTGACAGGCAATTTCAATCAACACAGACTCAGCAGGGTGGCTGAGAAACATATTTCTTTCTAATGGTCAGGCCAAATTCTGGGGTCTGCTGTGGAGTCACTCTTTTTTACATTTCCCATATCAGAAATATACCAGTTATCAATCTAGTCCAACATAATGAGCCTTTACCCTGTGGCCCCTTTCCCAGCTCTGATGCTGCAGAGCCTTGCCTGTGTCTCTGTCAGGGCTGGCTCCAGGGTTTTTGCCGCCCCAAGCGGCGCAAAAAAAAAAAAAAAAAAAGCCGCGATCGCGATCTGCGGCAGCAATTCGGCGGGAGGTCCTTCGCTCCGAGCGGGAGTGAAGGACCGTCCGCCGAATTGCCACCGAATAGCTGGACGTGCCGCCCCTCTCCGGAGAGGCCGCCCCAAG